CTAAAGTTCCAGGCAGTCAGGAGGCCAAGTGCGCAGCATACCCTGTTCTACTGCAAGGCTCAGGAGGGGCCAGCACACCCAGTTCTACCGCAGGGCTCAGGAAGGGCCAGCACACCCAGTTCTACCGCAGGGCTCGGGAAGGGCCAGCACACCCAGTTCTACCGCAGGGCTCGGGAAGGGCCAGCACACCCAGTTAGTTCTACTGCAGGGCTCGGGAAGGGCCAGCATACCTAGTACATTCTTGGCATATATATAAATGGAGCATTGTCCAGATCCTTCTGAAATCTGTGCAAGTGGTTAAGTCTCTACAGCCAGTAAAGGCTCTAGTGGCCCAACGATATCACCAGGTGCAGAACATTGCCTCCTTTTGCTTGTACTGACCACCTCCTCAAGCCCCTGCTTCCTGCCTGACTTTACCCTCAGTCTCAGCATATTCAGTCTCTCCCGCTCCTCTGGCTTCTTCATTTCTGTCCCAAAATATGCAGTTTTCTCTTTCTCTAAGTCATTCTTTGCCTACTTGGCTATTACCAAACTCCCTTTTTCCACCAAAGTCCTTTGAAAAACTACATTTGATTCCTGGATAACTGGGCTTACTTCCAAAAAATCAGCCATTGAAAACTCTATGGAGCACAGTTCTACTCTGACACACGGCGTCTCCATGAGTCCCAACTGACTCCACGGCAACTGGTTTTGGTTTAAGTAAAGGGCAGTGATGGTTCAGTGGTAAATTCTTGCCTCGCATGAGGGAAACCCAGGGTTCGATTGCCAGCCAATGCACCTCAGGTGCCGCCACTACCCGTCTGTCAGTGGAGGCTTGTGTGTTGCTACGATGCTGAACAGGTTTCAGCAGAGCTTCCAGACTAACCAAAGACACACTAGGAAGAAAGGCCTTGCAATTTACTTTTAAAAATCAGCCAATGAAAACCTTATGGATCACAATGGTCCAATCCCCAACCTATCATGGGGATGGTACAAGACTGGGCAGTGTTTCATTCGGCTGTGCATGGGGGGCACCCTGAGTTGGGGCCAACTCAACAGCAGCTAACACCAACTCTAGGACGAGTTTCCAAAGAACCTTCCTGGTCTCAGGTTCTAAGAAATAAATCATGGGAAGGCCTGACCTGGCAATACCTGTGAATTGAGAGAAGTTACTCAGGCCTCTGGATTCATCAGAAACAACTTAAAAGTTCAATATTAAATAGCTAACTCTCCCTCTTTAAAGTATACAAAGAATGCTTCTCCCTTTATTTTCATTCATCCACTAATCCTCAAAACTTAGGAATCATTTAGTAGTTGAAAAATGGGTAAGCCATGCCTTTCCTATCTCTAACGAAAAAGTTCAAGTCAGAAATTAGCTGCTTAAGCTAATTTCAAGTTTTTCAGGTTGATCAGCTAAAAGTCTATTTTTGTTTTTTAAATTTCACATTTATAATGCAATATTCACATCTGTAAAAACCTCTTTAAAGAGTTAAAAAGCAGAGATATCACTATGGGGACTAAGATACGCCTGACCCAAGCCATGATGTTTTCAATCGCTTCATATGCATGCAAAAGCTGGACAGTGAATAAGGAAGACCAAAGAAGAATTGACATCTTTGAATATACCACGGACTGCTAGAAGAATGTACAAATCTGTCTTGGAAGAAGTACAGCCAGAATGCTCCTTAGAAATGAGGATGGCAAGACTTTGTCTCACGCACTTTGGACATGTTATCAGGAGGGACGAGTCCCTGGTGAAGGACATCATGCCTGGTAAAGTAGAAAGTCAGCAAAAAAGAGGAAGGCCCTCAACTAGATGGACTGACCCGGTGGCTGCAACAATGGGCTCAAGCACAACAGCGATTGTGAGGATGACACAGGACCTGGCCGTGTTTCATTCTGTTGTACATAGCGCACTACGAGGTGGGACCCACTCAGTGGCACCTAACAACAACAATGCAGTTCGTCAAGTGTGAAAACACACTTGAATTGTTTGCGTAGACATTGTTAAAAAATATCCAGGCTGCTTATTTGGCTTTGTTTAAATAAACAACAGAAACATCTGTCATTTTTGACAGCAATTTTTGCTGTCCTTCTCACTCTCTCTAGGTGGCAAAAGTAGACTTCCATCGCCTTTCATTAACCTGCTGACCTGGAGGTGTTCACCCCAGTGCTGACCATGATTCTGTTTCACCGAGTTTTGGTTAAATACAATAATGGAATCACCATTTGATTTTCCAAACAGCTAAAATAATTTGAGAATAAAAAACAAGCTACCTTTTAGATGAAAACTATTACCTCCAAAAATGAAAAATTAAGTTATCTTTGAGTTTTCACAAGTATTAAGACCATAGTCAACTACAAAATGTAGTTCTTGTGTAAAATAACAGAAATATTCCTGACTAATAATTCCATTCTAATTTTAAACAAACCCATCCAAACGGTGTTCAGTACTTACTTCATGTCTCTACCACAATGTAATAATCTTACAGAAAATGTCTTGGTTCTAGTGTCGATGGCCAAGACTGTGAGGTCTGTATGTTACTGAACCTTCCCTCTGACCAGACAGACAGTATAAAAGTACTGCATCTCTCTGACATTGTATCCAACTCAATGTGACAGACACGGATTCAACCTCAGTCTGTTTCTCTATGTATTAAAAAGTGGGGATCCCTTCAGAGGGTATTTTTGCCTTGCAGGAATTATCCCTTTCCTGTTTGCCATTTCCCAGCAGCCCATGTGGGGTGGATCCTCGCCCACTCCCACCTCACATGCCTGAACACTGGTCTGTTGCCTTCTGGAATAAGGTTTTTGAAGTAAGAGTTTCAACCTGTCCCTTTGCTTTGCCGAAGACAGATCTGCTTACCAGCTATTCTTTCCTGTAATGACAATTGTGCTCTAAGACAAACAACGTATTCTTAGAGGAAAACAATCAATTGCAGCCATCACACGTGCTTCCCAATAGCCATCCATTCACATCAGCCCATACTCTGATATCTGACTTTCACACAAAGACTCCTCTGATGACAAGTCAATGAGTGCGATGTGTTTAACTGGATTCGTACCTATTGCATCGCTTCCTCTTTGTTTTAAGATGTTGAAGTCTTTATAATAAAAAAGATTATTAATTCTTCCCAGTTTCTTTGAAGACGATTCTCTACTGACAACCTCTTAAATTCCCAAATCTAACTTGGAAAAAACCGGAACCCACACTTTTAAGCAAGTTATTCCTGAGGACTTTAGTTTGGAGATCTATAACACTTCAGTTTTATGGGGACTTTTGGACAAAACTCGCCTGTTTTAGAATATTAGCTAAGGCAAAACTCTCGGTTAATCCTACGTTTACAAGTTTTTAGCAGTACACATTTTGGAATCTTCTGTGCGCCCCAGAACACTCAATATGGATCTAATTAGGTTCAGCTGCCTTATGTTGGTGATAAAATTGAAAGAAGAAAAGAGAACTGGGGGCGGGGGCTTTGTTCGTCCTCTCCTAGCTCGGGTAATCACCAGCGCCCAAGGCGCACACTGCCGGCGATCCTTCCTCGGGGCAGCATACGCTTCTTAAATACCCCAGCGTGGCGCAGCGCTCTCTTTTCAGCTATTGAGTTTTCACCAACGCTGCAGCCCTCCCCACACCCCGCGCCCAGCCCGGCGCGCCCCGCCCGCTCCGCGGCTCCCCTACTTACACCAGCCCAGCCGGACAGGGCATCTGGTTCCAGGCACAGTTGTACTGAGCTTGGATAAAACTCTGGCTCCCCTCCAGCACAGAGCAGCTCACATTCTTGTTCACGATGTAGGCGCACCAGTTCCTGGGGGTGGCGGGGCAAGAGGGAGAAGGGTACAGTGTGAACCCGGGGAACAATAAGGTTTGACGAGGGCGCCAGCTGATGCACCCGCGGACCGAGCGAGGGTCGGGACGCCCGCCGCCCCCTGTGGAAGCGGGAGCTTGACAAAGCAGACAGCGGAGGGTGCGCGAGTGCGCCTTTGGAGAGCGTGCCTGAGAAAGGGAAAAGAAATGCATCCAAGGTCCCAGGGCTCCTTTAATTCCAGGGCGTAGTTTCCTAATACCCTTTCCTGTGGAACCCTCCCTGCGCCCCACGCCCCAGAGTCGGACTGCTCCAGGCGCTGGCGAAGTAGCCTAGGACGTCCCGTGCCGGTCGAGGAGCGCTCGGCCACCCTGGAAGAGGCACCGCCGGGAAAGCCCGAGAGGAACCCAGACTGGCGCTTGTCGCCGTCGGCCGGGCGGCTTCGGTACGCCGTGGCGGGCCGGGAGAATAGACTGGGGCCGAGGGCTTTAGCAGGGGCCTCGCGGACCCGGGACGAGGAGAGAGGAGAGCGCACTTACTTGTTCCTGGCGCTGGGCCGCGCGGGATGCCTTGGCTGCGGGCTGGCATGGCACAGCCCCGCGCCGCCCAGGGCCAGCAGCGCCAGCGCCCAGGGCCAGGGCGCACGAGGCCGGGGCAGTGTCCGCTGCCACATTCTGAGCGCAGTGGGCGCGCCCCGCCTGCCCAAGCCTGGAGCGCCGCGGGTCCCAGGAAGCGCCACGAGGTTGTAGGCGGCCCAGGCACGGCCGCAGAAGGCTGGAGGCTCCCGGCCGCCTCCTCCGGCTTCTCGCTCCCACTTCTCCTTTTTCCAGCCCCTCGCGCCCTGCGCTTCTCCTCAGGTCCCTCAATGACGCACAGGTCCCCCCGGGTGCCGCCCTCTTTATTTCACTTCCCTCTCCGAAACGTGACTCCCTCCACCCCGTCTCCGTGTCTCCAGTCCCCTCGCCTCTCGGCAGGGGTGTGGGGTGAAAGGGCGAAAGGGTTTGGGAGAAGGGTCTATGCTACAGAATTTTCAATTACTCATTCCTTTGGTCTCTTCCCAGAAGCGGAGGAACTCCGCCTCCCACCTTCTAACAGGCTGGCCCCCCGGCCCCTCAGGAAGTGGCCGCAGTCGGAGAGTCTGGCGGTCCTCACCTCGAGCCTGGGTGCCGGCTTCCCGGGGTGAGTGAGGGACATCTTTATCAGTCCCTGAGGTAGGACTCAACTCGTATTTCCTCCTCTGGCAAGACGCGACCATTCCCCCACAACCTTTATGGACTTAGGAGGGTTTAGGGGAAAATGAACGCTGGTCCTCTTCTCTTTCTTTGCTCAACTACGCCTATGCATCCATTTAAACCTTTCCAAGTCAACATGCTGGGTAGCAGAGGGACAGCAGGAGTGACAGACCCACCACTGACCCACAGCTTCTGAAGGACAGCGTCAGACTCTAATATTCGCTACACTGATTTTCTTTCGAAAGGTAATCTCACAGCCTCTGCATTTGACGTTCTGCTTGAACTCCACAGGAGTCTTGCCTTTGCGTCTTTCAAAGTTCAGACACTGCTAGACGCTTGTTCTTTTCACTTCCTTCAATCTAACTTGCCAGTTCTTGGGGTACGCTAATCTCTAGCAATCCTTTTTGGAGTGCAAAAACTACACAGAACAACGCAGGGCAGAAGTTATCCCCAAAGTGCTGTATTTTCACGGGGTGTGGGGCCAGGCCTGGCCACACCTGCAGCTGTGTATGTCAGCGTTAACCCCCTGTGTCCAATGAGCGCTATAATTAGGGTATTGGCAGACTGCATGGAATGAACTGGAATGGGATGCTCCTTGGCTATGAATTCTTATGTGGATAATAAAGCTTTGGTATGTTCACTACTAACTGAAGCCATTGGTCCAGTTTATTTTGAATATGTTTTGATGATGTTGCTGGGCCTTTTGATTTGCAAATAGAGGAAAGAAAATTCCCCAAGTACAACCTTCCACAAGAGCCAAGCAGAAAATTATACCATGTAAGGACATAGTCTGTCCATGAACTTCTCGATGAAAGATCATGCAAATACTGGACTGGAGTCATCTCAGCCTTCAAAAGAGCCACCCTGGGGGAAAATAACAGAAAGGGTCAAAGAAGTGTCTTGTGTAACCCAATCTGTATTTTTCTGTATGTCTTCCCGGTCCTTCCCATCCTAACACCCCTTTTGCTCATGGAGTGTCGTAGGGAAGGAACAGCATAGAAATTGAGAAGAAAAGAATGGAGGAAACACGCAGGTTATGTATGTCGACAACTAACAAGAATTCACCTTTCTCTTCAATACAGGCAATTCTCAAACTTGAAAATGAGTCAAACTGATCAAGCCAAATATGATAACTTTTTCACTGAATCAAAGTTACACTTGTTAACTGCCATCGAGTCAGCCCGAGCCCCAACTTATGGTGAACCCATGCCCAACAGAATAAGACGCTTCCCTGTCCGAGGCCATCCCCATAATTGGTTATGGATGGAACCTTTGTGACCCACAAGGTTTTGTTTTTTTTTTAATTTAATAATTTATTTTTATTGTTGAGAATATGCACAGCAGAACCTATACCAATTCAACAATTACTACATGTACAATTCAGTGATATTGATTACATTCTTTGAGTTGTGTAACCGTTCTCACTCACCTTTTCTGAGTTGTTCCTCCCTCATTAACATAAACTCACTGCCCCCTAAGTTTCCTTTCTAATCTTTTGAGTTACTGTTGTCAGTTTGATCCCATATAGATAGATCTTAAAAGAGCACAATGCTCAAGGCAGACATTTTTTACTAGTTAAGCTAAACTGTTGTTTGGTTTTAAGAAGACTTCAGAGGATATTTTTGGTTTAAGGTTTAAAGATTATCTCAGGGCAATAGTTACTAGTTACAGGGTTTTATCTAGCTCAATGGCCCCAGGAAGTCTGGAGTCTATGAGAATTTGAAATTCTGTTCTGCATTTCCCCCCTTTTGATAATAATTCTTCTATAGAATCTTTGATGATCAAAATGTTCAGTAATGGTAGCCAGCAACCATCCAGTCTTCTGGTCTCATGGCAAAGGAGTCAGTTGTTCATGGAGGCAATTAGCCACACATTCCATATCCTCCTCCTATTTCTGACTCTCCTTCCTCTGTTGCTCCAGGCGAATAGAGACCAATTGTACCTTGAATGGCTGCTTGGAAGTTCTTAAGACCCCAGGCACTACGCAGCAAACTAGGAAGTAGAAAAGAAGCACTAAACACATTATTAGGCAGATTAACGAAGATGTCCCATGAAACCATGACCCTAAACCTCCAAACCAAAGAACCAAATTCCATGAGGTGTTTGGCTGTACATAAGCAGCCTTAACAGTTACTCTTTTTTGTTTTTGGTCATTGTTGTAAATATATCTGTCACACAACTTTTGCCACCTAAGGTTTTCATTGGCTGATTTTCAGAAGTAGATTACCAGGCTTTTCTTTCTAGTCCATCTTAGTCTGGAAGCTCTGCTGAAGCCTGTTCAGCATCATAACAACACGTCAGCCTCCACTGATAGATGGTTGGTGCATTAGCTAGGAATCAAACTTGGGTTTCCTGCTTGGAAGCTGAAAATTCTACCACAAACCACATTAGTATATTTGAAGTTATACTGTTGTTGTTGGGTGCTGTATAGTCGATTCCAACTCATAGTGACCCCATGTGACAGAGTTGAACTGCCCTATAGGGTTTTCTTGGCTGTAATCTTTAAGGAAGTATATCACTAGGTCTTTCTCCCATGGAATGGCTGGGTGGGTGTGAACTGCCAACCTTTTGGCCATTGGAGCCACCAGGGCTCCTTAAAGTTACACTCCAAGAGTTTGAGACCCAACTTTTCATTGCAATGACCACAATCCTATATTTGTGTTGTTGCTGGGTGCCATCAAGCCGATTTTCCACTCATAGTGAACCGATGAGACAGAGAAAAACTGCTCCATAGGGTTTCTAGGCCGTAATCTTTGCTGAAGCAAATCGCCAGGTCTTTTTTCCCCATGGAGTCGCTGGCTGGGTTTGGACTGCCAACCTTTTCGTTAGCAGCCCACCACTTAACTGCTGCGCCACCAGGGCTCCTTATACTGTATTTAATCATTTATAAATGGCATTCATTCAGTAAATAAATTGTATGCTGAACATCTGTACATGCTAGGCATTGTGCAAAAATGCTAAGAATTCATCAGTGAGTCAAAACTGACATGAGCCCTGTCTTTACAGAGCTTCTATGCATTCCTGTGCAGTGAAGGGTATGAAGTCAACTAAACAGCCAGTACTTATCACATGAATTTCTCTATACACATCTCCATCTGTGTCTGGCCTGGGGCTGCTCTGGGAGGTGGAAGAAGACTCCTGGGTCTTAGGAAGCCACGAGAAGACCTGAGGCTGAGAGCCCAAGAGACTCATCCCTTTCTCTTTCCCAGCTGGAGGAAGTAATGTGCCTACCTCAAGAATCAGGGAGCCCTCCGGAAGACAAAAGTAGGAGGAAGCACAGAAAAAGCAGTTTAATTGGACAGGTCATCTGGTCCCAGCCATAAGCAATAATGCAGATAGAATTGGCATAGTGCTGCAAGCGTGAATTCCTTATGAGCTGCCAACTACCTCAAACAACCACCCCCTTGTCCGTTGGTTTGTCATACTGTGGTGACTTTCGTGTTGCCATGATGCTAGAAGCTATGTCACCAGTATTTCTAATACCAGCAGGGTCACATATGGTGGACAGTTTTCAGCGGAGCTTCCAGTCTAAGAAAGACTAGGAAGAAAAGCCTGGCAATCTATTTCTGAAAGTTAGCCAATGAAAACCCTAGGGACCACAATAGAGTATTGTCTGATACAGTGCTGGAAAATGAGCCCCCTAGGTTGGAAGTCACTCAAAATACACAGCGGCCACAACAATGGATTTGAGCATACCAGCAATCGGGAAGATGGTGCAGGACCAGGCAGCGTTTCGTTCTATCGTACACGGGGTCGCCATGAGTCAGCTGACTCCAACGGCAGCTAACAGCAACCTCAGATAAGCACTCAAAAACTGTCGGCTTCCTGTATCAAACTGATGGAATTTCTTTTGCTTTTAAAAGAAAACTGCCCGATAGTAACTTACACTTGCCTAATGTGAAAATGCAAAGTAGGACGACTTCATTAAATCCATCCCTCATTTACTCACTTTTTGGTCGTGGTAAATGTAAATGGTAAATGGTAAACCTGGGGACACTGCCCAGTGGAGCAGGAGGATGGGCAATCATTACACAGACAGCAGGCGGGCCCATCTCCTCCCCACGCAGTCACACAGGCACAGGACATTGATCCAGATGAACTGATTTGCATCTAGGATGTGGTCAAAAGTTACAAGACTAGCCAGGGCTTCCACCCTTCTCATTCCTCGTCTTTGCTTTTTAGAACTTAGGAAAATGTCCCATAATTTCTAGGTGTATTTTTAAGTGTCTTTACTGCTTCTTTGTTCTACTTATCTAATGATGGGAAAAGAAAGTCCTTGAAGACTGAATATCTTGAAATACTTTTTTATTTCTAAGCAATTCTAACATATTGCATCCTAAGAAACTGTCTTACATGTTCATAAGTGGTAAGACACCCTTGTTCTTTTAAATTAAAAAAAAAAAAAGAAGACATTTGAAAGGGAAAGGGAGACAGAATGTCTCCAAGAAAAATTAACCAGCTGCCCCATCCAGCTTGGTGTGTGTTTTGGAATGCCAGGGCTCAGTCAATACAATTTTGTTTAGGTCCATTTGAGAGACAGGCATTGTGTTTAACAAGACCCTTTCAGAATGAATTCAGTGCATCTCCACACTTCAGAATTTACAAATAACAGCTACTTTCTTGTCT